TGCTAGCTTTGGGTTTAGTGTGCTCTTTTTCTAGTTCCTTAAGGTGTAAATTTAGGTTGTTGATCTGAGACCTTTCTTTTTAATGTAAGCATTTTACAGCTAGAAGTTTCCCCCTTAGCACTGCTTTCACTACACCTTATACACTTTGATATGTTGTGTTTTCATTTTCTTTTGCCACAAGATATTTGCTAATTTCCCTTGTGATTTCTTCTTTGACCCATTGGTTGTTTAATAGTGTGTTGTTTAATTTCCACACATTTGTGGATTTTCCAGTTTTCCTTCTACTGTTGATTTTTAGTTTCATCTCATTACAGTCAGAAAAGATACTTAGTATGATTTTCATCTTTTAAAATTTATTAAGACTTGTTTTTCTTTTAATATTGTGCTAACAGGACCTACAGTACCGTGCTAAGTAGAAGCAGCAATATTGGACATCCTTTTCTATTTCTGATTTTAAGGAGAATGCTTATAATGTTTCATCATTACATATGAACTGTATCGTAGTTTTTGGTTTATATTCTATTATAAGAAGTTCTATTCCTTGTTTATGCATTTGGTATTTCTTTTGTGCTGAAATGGTGTTGAATTTACTGAAAAAAATTTTTTTGGTAACCACTAAAATGATCGTACAGTTTTTCTCTTTTTATCTGTTATGCTAGAGAAATTTTCTAATGTTAACTGTGCTTGTAATTAGTGAGATAAACTCAATTTGGTTGCAATGTATTCTCTCATGTGTGTTGAAGTTTTTTGGTTGATATTTTGGAGGATTTTTGCATCTATGTTTATATGTGAAATTGGCCTATAATTTTCATTTCCTATTATACTATACTTGTTTGGTTTTGGTATTAGTTTTACTAGCTTCATAAAATGAGGTGAGAAATGTTTCCTCTTTTTCAATTCCTTAGAAGAATTTGAGTAATTCTTTGCATATATTGATAGAACTCACTATATAGCTATCTGTGTCCCCCGCCCTTCTGTCTATCTGTCTCTCTCTCTCTCTGTCTCTTTCTGATTTAATTTATTTAATGGCTATAGGAATATTCCATTTTTTTCTTATAAAAATAACATCTTTTTTGAGATATTAATCATATACCATAAAATCACCCTTCTAAATTGTACAGTGTAGTGGGTCTTAGTTTAAATAATATTGTCTGATATTAAACCAGTTACTTTCTTTTAGTTATTATTTTCTTACTATATCTCAGGTGCATAGAATTGAACTAAAAATTGTCTTTAGCTCATGCAAACACTGATTACTGGTGCATACATGTGCCACTTTTACTCATTTATTTAGTTTGTTATTATAAATAATGTAATAAGCATCTATGAAACCATTTGGCTCCCTGCCTCCCCTCACCTGAGGGTAACTATCATCCTGAGTCTATACTCTATATTGTTCATTCCTTGCTGTCCTTTTTATATAATTTTATTGCATATGTGTATATTCCTTAAAAATAACATTGAATTTTGATTGTTTTATGAGAAGGGGATCATGTTGGATATAATTTTAAGAGCTTACTTTTCCACTTAATATAAGTTTGTTAAGAGTCTTCCCTATTTTGCACATCACTGTATTTCTTTCATTTTGACTGTTGGGTAATATTCATCCACTCTCTTGACTGGGCATTTCAGTTGTTTCCTGGGGTTTGCTATTGTGAAAGTACTGTTGTCTATATTCTTACACCTACCTCCTTTTGTACATGTGCCAGAGACTTGGTTACTGAGTCCTCAGATATGTGAAAGTTCAATATTAATAGATGATGCCAAAGCGCTTTCCCAGCTGGTTTCACCAGTTTACATTCACATCAGATCCGTGGATTGACTTCCTCTCCAACATATAGTATTGTCAGATTTTTAAATTTTGTAAATGAAACAGGTCTCAATAATACCTCTCCATGGTCCTGATTTGTATTTCTCTGATCGCTAGTGAATGTTGAACATCTTTTCTTAGGTTTATTGGCTATATGTATTTTTTCATTTGGGAAAACCTCTTTTGAGATTATTTCTGTTGCATTTATTGTGTTTTTTCATTGAATTTTAGAAAATATTTATGTATTCTTGATATTAATGTTCTCCAGTTGTACGTGTTACAAAATATCTATTCCTGGTTTTTAATTTGTGTTTTTGCATTTTTGAAAATATCTTTTGATTAGCAACAGTTTTTCATTTTAATATAGTCAAATTGGTTAATCATTCATAATTAATAATCATTTATAGCTAATGCTTTTGTATTTTGGTTAAGAAAATTTCTTGCCCCAAAGACTAAAAGTTATTCACCTATATTTTCCATTTAGAGTTTAAAAAATTATTTTTAACACTTAATTCCTTATACCATCCTTATACCTTAGAGTTACTTTTAATATTATAAGACAGAGATTCAATTTCAACTTTTTCCATAGAGATAACCATTTTTTTCCAGCTCAGTCTGTTAACTTCTCACTAATCTGACATGTCACATCTGTCATATACCACACTTTCATTTGCGTATGAGGCTGTTTCTTGGCTCTCTTCTGTTCTGTCAGTCACTCATCTATCCTTGTACCAATAGCACACTGTCTTTAATTATTATAGCTGCGTGATAGGTCCTAATATTTGGTGAGGTAAGTCTTCTCTCCCTGCTCTCTTTCTTAACAGTGCTTTGACTATTCTCGGCTCTTTACCTTTCCATGTAACTTTTAGAATCATCTTATTAAATTCTATGAAATTTCTGGTGAGGTTTATAAAATTGGAATTACATTGAATTAATCTGGAGAGAATTTACTTATTTATAATATCAGTTGTTTCTAGCCATGAACATGATATATTTTTCCATGAATTTAGGTTCTTTTATAAACAGCTTTTAATATATCTTTTATGATATTCTCCATAGAATTGTTACATATGTTTTATTAGATTTATTCCTGGGTGTCTGATATTCTCTGAGATCATTGTAAGTAAAGTATTTTATATAATTTTGTTTTTTAGGCTTTTTGCTGCTAATATATTAAAAATGAAACTCACTTTCATATTTTAATCTTATATGCAGCCGACCTGCTAAACTCTATTAGTCTCATAATTTGTAGGGTTTTTTTAATATGTTCTATGTAAATAATCATATCATCTGCAATAATATGAAGGTTATGTTTGAACAAGGGTGTGAAACAGGTGAGGAAGTAAATTATGTGGATATCCAGTGGAGAACATAGCAGGCAGAAGGACAGCAAATACAGATGTTAAAGCAGGAACATGGCTGATGTGTTCAAGGAAGTCAAGGAAGCCAGAGTTCCTGGAGTGCTGAGCAAGCAGGAGAGTGGTAGGAGATGAGGCCAGAGGTATTGGACTAGATTATGTAGGGTCTTGTAGACAACTCTAAGGACTTAGGTTTTTACTCTGATTTGGTCATCCACTGGAAGGTTTTGAGCAAAGGATGACATGATCTGAGTCAGCTTTTTAAAGGACCATTCTGGCTCCTATGTTGAGAATAAACTACAGTGGTCAAGGACTAAAGCAGGGAGACATGATAGGAGGCCATTGCAATAATCCAGGTAACGTGATGGTGGTCTAGACCAGGGGAGTAGTGGGTAAAGGTGGTGAGAGGTGGCTGGGTTCTGGATATATTTTGAAGATAGAACTAACAGGAATTTCTGAAGGTTGCTTAGGAGAGACAAAGAAGTCAAGGATGATTCTAAGTTTTTTGGTTTGAGCAATTAGAAGAATGAAGTTGCCACTGATAATGTTGTTGAAGAAGTTGAGCATCATTTCACATAGTGTCTTCTTTGTGAGGACTTTGAAGGAAATTTGAATCTTATTATTGGAAAAAAGTGCATTTCTCTCAAGAACTTGCTTCATTTCTATCTTTGTTAGTATCTGTTGGGAACTGTGACTGCTTTAGCTGCTGGAAGATGTAGAACCACATTTGTGTTGTGCCTTTGTAGCAAGGGTATAGATCCTAAAGTATATGTACTTTTTTATTGACCTCATTCACATTTGGCCTTGTTTTTATCTTTTCCTGCCACTTCTGATTTGTTCTCTTATACGTTATATATCCTTATATACCTCCTTAAAATCTTTTTAGAACAGAACAGTGTGTAAATAAATGAAAACAAATTGTTTGCATTGTATGCTACCAAAAAGGAAATGTGGGATGTAGCATGAATTTTTAAAGACTAATCTAAGAGTTAGAACATCGTCTTGAACTACAAATTAACATATGTGTGTGTGTGCATACGTATATATAAAAATACATACATATGTGTGTATAGATGTATATTATATATATATTTAATATATATACCTGAGTGCCTGCTGAGTTCCTACAACTCTGTATCATTCATTCAGCAATATTCAGTGCGTGTCCACTATGTGTCAGGTGCTGTTCTAGGCACTTGATGACATCAATTAATAAAACAAAGAATCCTATTGTCAGGGAGCATGCATTCTAGTGGGGGAGATACTGACAAAGATAGCACGTGTAGTAGGTTAGTAAAGTATATTAGAAGATGGTATGTACTACAGAAAAATACATCAAGCATGATAAGGGAGACTGGAGGTGAAGGAAATATACAGGGAGGTTGAAGTGTGGTGGTCGCAGCATTAAATTGAGTGGTCTGGGTGGGTCACATTGAGAAGATGACATTGACAGAGACTTGAAGGAGGTGAGGGTGTGAGTTATGTCCCCTTCTGAAGGAAGAGCCATTCCATCAGCAGGAACAGCAAGAAGAGGTCTTGAGGTAAGAGTGTCCCTGGCTTGTTTAAGGAACAGCTGGGCAGCCCCCATACAATTGACTGAGTGAGAAACGTGGTGGGAAACAAGGTCAGAGAGGTGACTGAGCTGGGAGAGACAAATCTCATCTAGCCTCATAGACTGTTATTAGGAGTTGAGCTTTTTCTGAGTGCAAAGGGGCACCATTACAGGGTTTCAAGCCTAAGAGTGAAATGATTTGACTTACATTTTAAAAGGATCACTCTATCCATTATAGTATAACTTTACAGAGAGTTGATGATTATTTCTGCAATTTTAGGTATATTACAGCTAATACTGATACCGAAGAACAGAGTTTTCCACTCCCTAAGGCGTTTAACACTCATGTAGAGGAATTAAATTTAGATGCCCTTATTCAGACGGCTGATAATTTACGTATGAATGAGTCCAGGAAAATGGAGAGTTTTGAACTACTTTGTGACCACAAAGAAAAGGTAAGAAATATGTGATAATAACATGCTTGTGTAGTTTTAATTTTTTATTTAATCTACTGTCCCATTCATGTTATGACCATAACAATTGTGTCACAGTTTACACAAGCTAAATGATTGATGTAAATTTTTTTATATCACTACAATTTTTTAAAAGTAAATATAAGAATTTATTAGGCTCTAAGTTCATAAAAATGAAAACCAGAGATATGATTATACAGACTGACATTGATTTTATCAATCTGATATATTTCGTAAATATTTGGTAACAGATAAAGAATAAGACATACTGCTTCTCTGGAGGGAAGAAAAGCTACATTTTAAGCTCGCTATCTTACAGTTACTAATATAACACAGTATTTCACTGTGTCCTACCAGTAATCGTTTTCCAGTGTTTAATGCTGGACTGAATTAGGAAAGCTCATCCTTCCCACCACCACCAAAGGAAAAAAAAAACGGTGGGTTTTGCAATATCACAAAGATCAATAAATCTTTTTCTTTCCCATGAGAGATTTAAGTCTAACCTTTGAGGATTTGGCAACTCTAAATGCATTACCTAAAAGTTTTTAAATCTCCAGGATTGTATTTAGGTAATTTAGGTAAAAAATGTGACTCCTCTTTTGAATGTATGTAATCTCTGATAACTTACAGATATTATCTGAAATGCCCATTGAAGCATCATATTAATAATAGATAACTTAGAAAGGAAAACAAGGAGAGGATACTGCAACCCAGAGAGAATTTGTAAATTCTGACACCTATCAAGTTTCTCATCTTTGTAGGTGTGGAGCTGGTGTCTGCATAATATTCATTGGTTTTAAGATCCAAATGTAACACTACATTACATCACATTTTGTAGCCATGAATATTTGAACTTAAAGTGTGATATGCACATGAATAGATACAGTCATTTCTAAGTACCAGTTTACCTAATTTTTTAAAAGTTGCAGTGGAAAACACAGTCTGGTCACGTTTCTGAGTTTATCTAATGTGCAGTTCTGTCTGTTCAGTTTAGGGATGAAATAGAGTTTATTTGGCGGTTTGCTCGTGCTTATGGAGACATGTATGAGCTATCTACAAATGCACAAGAAAAGAAGCATTATGCTAATATTGGTAAGTATTTTGTAAATATTAATTATCCTCAAGTAGTAATCATTATCTATAGTAAACCACTAATGAATTTTAATTAAAGCTAAATTATCTTAGCTAAAACAAGTATGTTTAATCTATTTCAACATATCTTAGTACTTATATAGTCTAAGAACAGAAAGGTTTGTTTTTTGGGTTTTTTTTTTGTGGTACACGGGCCCCTCACTGTTGTGGCCTCTCCCGTTGCGGAGCACAGGCTCCGGATGCGCAGGCTCAGCGGCCATGGTTCATGGGCCTGGCCGCTCCGCGGCATGTGGGATCTTCCCGGACCGGGGCACGAACCCGTGTCGCCTGCATAGGCAGGTGAACTCTCAACCAGTGTGCCACCAGGGAAGCCCCCAGAAAGGTTTTTTTAGAATAAAAGTACATGTTCTTAAAAAATATTTGAGCATACTAGAACAGGCAACTGAAAAACTCAAATTCCAGCTTTTAAAGTTTATAAAATCACAGAAAGATGAGACATTAAGTGGTAATAATATGAGAAGCGATAATAGCAGTAGTCTTTCACCACAATTAAAATAACTCTCCTTACTCCCTGTAACGTAGAACTCCAGGTACCACAAAGAAATAACTACTCATACTTTAATGTTTTTTTCAAGATTTATCTTGATAAAACAAGATTAGCCTTATTTTAAGGCTAATCTTGTTTAAGCCTTGTTTTAGCTAATTGTTTAAGCTGAGCAATGAGTCCATAGTTGTTCATTATACTGTCCTCTATTTTCCAAAGTAACAACAACAAAAGAAAAACAGCTAGAATGTGAAATTTTATATATATATAAACCTTGACTCTCACTGAGTATCAAACTCTTTCTTGCAAAAAGCCCCCTAAGTTTCAGGATAGTAATTTGACATAAAAACTTCTTTAGTTTTTTGTTTTTGTTTTTTATTCCAAAGTCTTCTCTTTTCCAAGCTTTCCTTCTCTGAGATAGCATGAGGAAGAAACAGCAAGAAGATAATGATACTGCCAATCTCCTTCCACTCTAGTTCCCTGTCATTTTTATTTCTAAGAAGGAAATATTTCCAAGTTCCTTGAAATTACATTTCTTCCGCTTGTAGGTTTCTTTGCCAAGTGGCCTCTGTTCTTTAATTCTTAGTGGGAGGAGGATGGAAGGAATTCCCCTTCTTGTTCTTTACATATTCATCATCAGCTTTGTGGGGCAGTTTTTCTGTAGCAATCCTTCTTGCAGACCATAAACAAAATGGAATTCTAGGGAAGAGATTTATTAACTTGAAGGTAAATAAAAATTTAGCCAAAGAGAACAAACTAACTTATTTTTATATCTACTGAGAAAGAGTATATCTTGTAAACTGTTCCAACATCCATCAATATTAAATATATATTAAATGTATTTTTTTTCTTGAGCACCTCCCTGCCCTGGGCATTAAAGCTCCTCCTATGTTAGAAGGTAGAAATATGATAGGAAAATAGACATGTTCTCAGACTGCAAGGAGCTTATGGCTTTGTGGGGAAGATAGTATTACTAAAATAATCCTACATATAAAGAAACACACTGAAGTAAGTTGTTAGTGAAGAAGAATGTGGCATATTAAGAGAGGGTATAACAGAAAGGAGGATATGATGGCGGGGGTGAACGTTGATGCAGGGAACTCTTTCTTCTGGAAGTAAGTCTCACGTAGTAAAATTACTTGGGATCTGTATTTTTAAATGGAGTGAGAGTTTAACTGAGTTAATGTATGAGATGGTGAAAATGGAGAAAGAAGTAGGCTGGAGGAAATCCAAATTCTCATACCCAAGTACAAGAAAGGAGCATGGATTGAGACAGGATATATTCAAAAAAGAGAAAAGTTTATAGTGTCAAAGAAAAAACAGTGACCCCTCAGATGTGTTCATGCAGTTATAGAAATAAATTTAGCAGAATTCCTATTTTTTTATCCAAGAAATTTTTATTTATTTATTCAAAATATTTATTCGAAATCACCATGTCTAGGAACAAAGTTAAAATGAGGGGTGAGGGAAGGAGAAAAGGAGGGACATGAATATGATCAAGACAGTGTTACACTAAGGAACTTACTGACAAGATCAATATGGAGACAGGCAATTGTAATTCAATGCACAGGTAGTAAGTGCCAGGCAAAGGTGATGGCAAAGAACACTGGAGCTGAGACATTGGAGACTGGAGTTGACGGGCATCGGCACCCAGTGCAAGGGAGGAAGAGTGCTGTTATTGCTCATAACAGTATATTTGAACTCGTATGCCGAGGGAAGACTGGATCACTGAAGAGTACAGAATTCTTTCCTAAACCTCCAGCTGGGGTATACCATTATGCAGTACATCTGTGGACGTGCTGTGATTGGTCATACTTGTCTTCCAAATAAAATATGAATCTTATATCTAAAAGAACATCATTGTAATTTTCAGAATTAAATGACTGATACAAATGCCACAAATAGCTCACAGAATACAATTTTGTAAGGGAGATAGCTTTCCTTTCAGGCTTAAGCTGCATAAATGAGGCTGCAAAACCAATCTGTGTAGTACCCAGCTCCATTATATTCTCAGAGCGATGGAATCACCTCTATGTTAAGCTTGTCGCAGTGCCCTAAAAGCTATTTTTGTTCATTTGGCAATGTAGGGAAAATGTTGATTTAGTTTTTAAAGTCTGTACATTTAAAAGTATTTATGTTTTTCGATCATTCATTACCAAATTACTCTTTTAATATATGTCCACAATGTACTATCAGTTATTATTTTAAAATACTTCCTTTTAGTTTTTTTCCAGTTTATATAGATTTCTATACAGGGTAGCTCTCTTAATGGACAGAGCTATAAAGTACCACCTTAGCAAATTAACAAATAGGAGAATGATTTTAGAATAAAATATCTTTATTTATAAAAATTACCTAAACTAGTTATTTAGAAGAGCATTTTGTATTGGATAATCTCTTCAAGCAAAAAAAAAAAAAAAAAAAATTAAAGCAGGGAAAAGGAGATGGTATAAAATAAAACAGCCACTTTTTGAGAAAGATTTTCAGAATGTGGTTTAGACCAGCGGTCCCCACCCTTTTTGGCACCAGGGACCGGTTTCGTGGAAGACAATTTTTCCCCCGAGGAGGGGGGGTGGTGGGGAGCGACGGGGAGCAGCAGATGAAGCATTGCCCACTCGCCCGCGGCTCACCTCCTGCTGTGTGGTCTGGTTCCTAACAGGCTGTGGACCAGTACCCGTCCACTGCCTGGGGGTTGGGGACCCCTGGGTTAGATAAACCTCTATCCAAAAATTAATGGGTTATTAAAAGTTATTCTAAAACTAAGTAAAATTATTTAGGGGAATTATTTATTTACTGAGCCTGCTCATTATTGTGAAAGATTAGACAAGCGCTCTGGGACATCTTCCCAGATGGGGTTGCTCTCTCCATTCTCTCTTATACTCTCTTCTTTACCTTGTATTTATTTTTTGCACATAATTCGTTTGTTTATATACCTACTGCCTACTGAAATGTGAATCCTTGGAAGTCAAGAACTGTGTCTTATTTGACTTTTTATTCCCAGAGGCTCACATAATATGATACTTAGAAAGCACTCAGTAAATGTTGGTTGAGTTAATTACAAAACAATTTCTATTAACACTTCTAAATAATGACTGAATGACTTCCTTGCACTTGGTTAAATCACTTAACCCAGTGAGTCTCAAACTTGAGCATACATCAGAATCACTAGAGGCTAGTTAACACAGATTGCTGACTCTCAGAGTTTATGATCAAGTCCCTCATGTGGTCCAAAATTTGCTTTTCTAACAAGATTCCAGGTGATGGCTTCTGGTCTTGGGACCATACTTTGAGAACTACTGGCTTAAATTCAATAATTTACCTCCCACCAACTCAGATGAAGGTAATAAGTGTAAGTGCATTTATCTTTCAGGAAAGACATTAGGTGAAAAAGCTATTACTAGAGCACCCATGAATGGACATTGTCATCTATGGTAAGTACATAGAATTTATGCAGCCTTTAAAAAATTCTAATATGCCTCTTTATAAATTGCAATGGATTTTTAAAATATTATTGACCCACTTAACATGTCACATTCACTAAAAAGAATATTTAGTATATAGCACAGTAACTGTTCTTGTTCTGTTTATTCTCATGTATTTTTCAGTATATATATTTTAAATATATTTAAGATAAACTTTCATTGAAGAATTCATAACTGAATCCACCAAGTCCAATAACTGTGCACATGATAAATTTAATTAAATCTAATTTCATATAACATTTTGTTTGAAAACAAATACTAAAGTGATGCCACATTTCTAAATGAAACGCAGAGAGAAGAATAAAAGCACATCAGCCATTATACCTTGATGAGTAAAGGTATACAAATTCCACAAGTCAAAGGAAAGCCATTTCTAATATAAGAAAGCTCAAACAAAGGAAATCTAATTAGTTGGATGGGTATAGGTGGATATCCTTGGGACAAAAAAATTTATTCTTGAGTATGTTTTGTTTTGGATCCTTTGTATATTTACAATTATAAAACAGAAATAAGAAGAAAAATATTGTTTTTAATTAACACTTCATTTTACTCATAGTTGTATTTCTATAGCATTTCTTAGTTTCTTAGTTATTTTTTCTCCCCAGTAATATTGGTACTTTAGGTGCTAGGAAGACATAGTCATAAATTTATTTTTGACCCTTCTCTCAGACCTAGGTTGTCAGAAATCCACCCCTCTTTGGGATTATTTTATTCTTCTGGGATAGTCTTAGGCAAATCTCTCTCAAAATGACTTCTTTTCTGCAGGTACACATTTATCCTCCAGGAAATTCATTTTTGCCCCACCAACTCAAAAGTGCAAACGATTTTTCCAAAGCAGACCTGTTCCTTTACACTGCCACCAGCAGGGGGAGCATCACTCACACACTCTCATCCTAAAACTTCCCTGGGCAGGAATCAGATAACATTTTTTATGTCCCCCAAACTCTAAAGGACATGCCAAAATAAGAATAGGTCTTTTGAAGCTGCCATCACTTAAAATGAGAAACAAGGCTACCCCCTTCCGTCTCGCATGAGAAGGTGAGAGGTGGAACCGAAGTACCCTAGTAGTTCTATTTGCAGAAATCCCCCTTCCAGGTCTCTCTCTGCTTCAGCGAACTCTTTGCCTTCTCTTATATAGCCTGGAGATGGGTGAAGGGCTAAGCCTAGCAGAACCTGTGAATCAGTTCACTAATGTGGGTAGTAGAGTGTCTTGCTTTAGGAGCCGGAGTATACCTAATAAAGTATTGTTCTGTGCCCTAGTGCCTCTGCCACAACTCTAGGAGAAAGCTAATTTTGCAAGTAACATCCTGGTAGGTATCTTTAAGGTCAGTTCTCCAGTATGTAAGGGTCTTGGCTATTATTTCTATAGCCAGCTTTACCTTCCTCACCTAATTTGCATAATACTGATAATAATAAATTAATGTGTTAAAGTACTTCTGTTCTTCCATTTTTAGTATAACTGTAATGAATTTATACTGATCAAGCTACACTTGCTTCATCTCTTTCGATAATGGAGATGTTTGGGTGTTGGTTAGCCAGATTTAGACGCAGAAAGAACACCGAAGCCCTACTCTTAACTCTGAGCCTCACCCTCCTCTTCCTCTGCTGTCCTCTTCCTTCTCCCATACAAACTTCTGCATCCATGGAGAATCACATTAAAAATGTACATTTGATGTTAACCCTCAATTTGAGGACACTTATCAGTGTGAACTTCCAAATTTCCATAAAGGAACAATGTTGAATCTTCTCTGAAGACTTCATAAGCACCTTAAACTTACCTTGTGAGGACAGATTATGCTTAACTCTTACTCAGTGGGCTTCCCAGCCTGTCTTCCACTAATCTGACCACTTCTCTTTTGTTCATCTCTTTTCACTTTTTGTTGTGTACTAATTGCCTTGTTTATAACTGTGGGATTTAACCCCGAGGGTGAATCTTATTCACAGACACACACAGAGTACTGATCCAATTGTGTTTCACATGATTTTTTATTCAGTATCAGTTTTTAATTAAAAAACAATTAAAGTCTGATCAGTTGCTAAAATTTAATAAATTCAAATGTCAATTTTTAAAATTTATTTCATTGAAATATAGTTGATTTACAACGTTGTATTAATTTCTGTTGTACAGCAATGTGATTTTATCTTAATTCATAAAATATATTATGATGTACCTACTGAATACAAGAATTCTCATTCAATTAAATACAGTAGTAGAGGTTTAGGGTGATGAAAAAAGAGAAATTAAGACTTTGACTTGAGAAGCAATGTGTGAAATTTAGGTTAACTGATTCTATAATTAATTGTAATAAAATGTCATGAAAATGTCTTATCCTGCTGGAATTTTTTTCAGTATGTTACGACTTTTTCTCATTCATTCAGCATAAATGACAAGACATGGCCTCTAGGCCAAATGCAGCTGCCTGCTTTTGTAAAGTTTTATTGGAGCACAGCCACACCTGTGCATTTGTACATAGCAATGAAGTTGAGCTGTTGTAACAGAGACTCTCTGATCCCACAACCTTAAATGTTTCCTACCTGGCCCTGCAGCGAAAATTTGCTGACCCATAGTTTACAGGGTTCTGTGATGGTTTATAAGCCTTCAGTTTGAAATAAAAGATGCAATCATTAGAAATAATTATCATAAAGCGTTGATATGGAGGGAATAATTGAAAAACAAATATTATTTTAAAGACTTGTTTTTCATCATCATCTTTTCCAAAATGAAATTGCTCTGTAACTTTCAGGCTACATAAGCTTTCTATATAATTCTGTCGTTTTCGTTGTACCAGCCTAAAATACTTCTAGAATCAAGAGAGCAGAATCACCAATGGATTTGCAGTTTGTTAGCCAAATAGGCCTGACCTTAATTATAAATAATGTCTTACATATTTGTTGTGCTCTACTGTTCACAAATTATATCCCCATGTCTTCTAGCATGTGATTCACAGAACAACCTGTTTCCATTTTATAGAAAGCAAGGCCGTCTGTGTGTGTGGTGCAGTATATGTGTGTCTGGTGTGGTGGTGTGATTAGTAACCAAGGGTCATACAATAAGTGGAAAAACAAAAACCAGATCTTATATTTGTATGTACTCAGTATTTCATCTATTATTTACTCTTCCTCTGCTTTTTCACAGTATAAATAGCATTGGTGCTAAATCAAAAATGCTACTGGGAAACTAATGGAGTTGTTTTAGTAGTTGTTTACTAGTTGTTGAGACAGGGATGTTTGTCAGTTATTAAAATATTCACTATAGATGCAAAGAAAATACAGAATTTTTGTCAACACATAGTTAGAACAACCTCTAGATGGAGATAATAGACCATATTGTGTGTTAATTTTCTTCATAGTTCCCATCAACCTGAGAGTTTACAAAATAAAATTTTAAATTACATTTTCCAAGATAAACAGTGTGAAAAACAACATGTACATGCAGATATAGGTGGGATTGATTGCCAGAAAAGAAATGATGATCCTTTGAGGAAAAGTGGTTCAGGTAAACTTTGAATTTATGACATGTAGGAAGATAAATAATACTTTAGACTTGAAAGAAGCAGACTTCAAAATGATTATGAAAAACATAAGACCCTGGTGACAGATTATTTATAAGGGAAAATGTACATATTTCATATAATGGTTTTCTTAAGTCACGTTTTTTTCTTTTTTCTTCTTCTTCACTCAGAGTAACTGGGAAAGAACATGCTGAGAGAGCTCTGTAAAAGCTAGAGACGTGCATAAGTTGTTCTGATTTTCAAAAAATAGAAGATTGATTCCACCACTATAGATCAGTGAACATAGAATCTTTTCCTTTGATTACAGCACAAATAGTTAGTTGGGTTTTCTGTGAGTGATGAAGTTCAAGCAGACTCAACAGATTTTTCTAAAAATGTGAGATGATCTGTTTTTTCTTTGCTAGTAGATAGAGTAGGGAAATTGAGCTAATATATCTGGATTTAAGGAAGGCTTTAAGGCAAGTTCACTCATAATATTCTTGGGGACAAGATGTTAAAATATGGGCAAGGTTCTTTGTTACCCGTGCTGGCAGAAGGGTTTGAGCCTCAATCATTCAAAAGAATAACTGTTGACAATACCATGATTCTAGAGTTCCAGGTCTAGATCTTAGACACTAGTGTGTTCAGTGATTTTTTTCAGTGGGTGAAGATGTGGAAGGTATGATTATAAATGTTGCAAGTGATGCAAAATTAGGAAGAACAGGGTGTATGATGGATGACTATAGTAATTAAAAGATTTTCACATGTTGAAAGAGATACTGAACAAGGTGAATTAAGAGGGATAAATATGGAAGGAGGGATGGAGAGGAAAATGTCAAAATTTGAGGACGTGAGGGAAAAACAGATGGAAATTAGAATGAAGCATGGAGTTTAGTTAACAATAATATATTAATATTGGTTCATTTTGAAAATTTTCAATATTGTATATCAATATTAGTACAGTTGTGATAAATGTATTGTAATAATTTAAGATAGTAATTTAAGTAGTATCTCCTAATCTAGGTAAGTTCTCAGATCATAATAGGTTGCTTTTGTCATAACTCTTGCTTCTACTGTTAGGAGATTATTGATTTTCTAATGAAAATTAAGAGGTCAAAAAAACTTATAACTGAAAAGTGGCCATTTTGTTGGTTGTGCATAAGTTGTGTGAATTATGTGATCTTTTGTGTTCAGGAATGGTCTAACTGTTCCAAATTAAGAAAACTGTTCACTTCAGTTTTTTATTTGAAAGTTATGTGTATCCACAGAAACAATCAAGATAAATAACACCCAAAATTACATTTTTCATTTCAGTTATGACAATGCAAGTGAAAATTAAGACCTACTTTTGAATTATTTAGGTAAATGAATATTTTACCTCAGACAGAAACACTCTGAATACTTTTGCACAGACAGAAACAGTCTGAATGTAAAAAGTAATATGTGCCCAATTTTTAGAGGAAGCAAGTTGCTGAACAAATATTGTGCCCAATTTTTAGAGGAAACAAGTTGCTGAACAAATATTATACATAATTTATAGTCAAATATTTATTTATGTAAATTTTGTATTCCCAAGGGAAAAAAAGTAAAGAATCCATGGGATGCACTCTTCTAGTAATGACTGCAGTGTCTCCAAGGAAGGATTGAAGGACATGGGGAATTTTTGAAAAAACATATTCTAAAATTACCTTTGATTTTAGTATTTGTTTTTAGTCATGATATTTATTTTAATTTTCAAATGACATTAAGGGAGCCTTGAACTTTTTATTTTTACGAAAGAGAAGCAGGAATCTGTTGACACAATGTATTTTTCAGTTTAATACTTATGTGAATAGACTCTTCTGAGGGTCTCTTTGTGACTCTGATGTTGATGAAGGTGATGGCAGCAGCTAATCTTTCTTGGAACTCACTCCAGGCCAGACACTATTGTAAGCGATTACGTTTTAGATATTTTACCCTCATAGCACACATATGAGATAGATGGTGTTAGTATCCCCAGGTTTTGCTGAGGAAACTGGCCTCATGTTAATGTCAAACATTGGTTATTTATTCATCTATATGAATACTTTTGTTAAATATTAATGAATGGTTTAGAGATTTTTTTTAATGTTAAATTTCATGGTATTTGATTAAAAGTTTACACAATGTCCACTGTTTTTATCCTTTTCAGGTATGCGGTTTTGTGTGGCTATGTATCTGAGTTTGAGGGCTTACAAAACAAAATTAACTATGGATATCGCTTCAAGGTATTTCTTGATATTAAAAATGTTTTACTCTAGCTGTATGTTCCATTCACAAGTATAAATCAAATTATTCAATAGACTTATCTCTAGGAATTTATCTTTTTTACTTAAATAAAATGACAGTCTTTAAATAGTACTGTGCCAAAAAAGAAACAAACTCTTTGGGTGATTAAGGATTATTATTATTATTATAGATCCTGAAGGAGGTCACATAGTAGATGAGTATTATTTTTTTAAAGGTAGAGGCTTAGCCTTTTAGTCATGAGCACACTAACATCATAAACATGGCTGGCACTAATTAGTTAACATTTAATACATATTGATTTGCTGGTAGGAGTAGAATTCAATCTAGGGCTTAAATTTGCCATGATAGAGGAATAAAATAAGTAATGCACATACTCATTATTTATCATGTGCCTGTAGTTGTAATCATTCAGTAAATAACCCCTCAGGGTCAATAATTTTAGGAATGGGCAGAGAGTTCTTTGTTTTCCAGCTCCCTATAACCATTTGACAATGTCAGGGGAGTAGATTCTTCTATCACCTAGTTCTGCTATTCTTTTCTCCATTATACCCACATCAGATGACATTTGTAAGTTTGCCTCTCAATCAGTAAGTATTAGGTAGGCAAGTCATGGGCAGACAAAAATGTGACTTGGATGTTTTCTATTTTTAAGGTGATGTTTTCTGTAGCCTTATTTAATCATAATCACAGTTCTGGTTCTAGTTGTGAGTATTTTGATGATTGAGTTATTGAGAAGCTTAATTGTATTAATAATAAAGATTGAGGAGGGAGACAAAACAACATTATAAAGTCCCTTTGAATTTACTAGGCAGAGTTCTACTCAACACCACCTGAAACTTGGGAGATATTTCTTTTGGATTTTCTTTCAGGAGCATCTAGATAAAGCAATCGAATTTTTACCTGAAGAACCCTTTTTGTATTACCTCAAGGGAAGATACTGTTACACTGTAAGTTGAAAGCTTTTATCTGTAAAGCTTATTTGAATATATTCTGATTATATGATCTATTTTCAGTGACTTATTCTTTTATTGTTTTACCTAGTGCCTACTATAGAGAAAATGATGAAATCAGTACATATTTTGAGTTTATAAATTTATATATTTTATAATTATATACTGAATTACACACAATATATGATTTTATAAATGCATGTATTTTTTTCTTTACTGCCTTTCCATTTCCCCTTGCGGCAGTCACACTGTCTCCCTTTAAATGTGCTTTCTCTCAGATGGTGACCAGCCACCAGTATCCATGCCCCCTGTATTGGTGCACTGCTCTGTTTTGTGGGAGAACTTTTTTCCTTTATCAGAGTTTATTACACATAAATTATGTGCTTGCTGTCCTTTTCTTCAAGAAACTTTATTTAGAAGGGGACATAAGACATATAGAAATAAATAAAGGCAGCTGGTGAGTCTAAGACCCAATGTGTTAAATGACACCTGTTTATGGAAAGTTAACAGAATGTGAAAATATATCATAACAGCTACATTAAAAACTTATCCTGAAGAGAACTGCTCTTTCTGAATGAGAAAATTGGGATAGGCAAAATAGGAAGCTTTTTAATTGTGGCTTGTAGAGGATTAGGGATGAAGCAGGAGGTTTGCTTTTACTGAACACCTGCTATATATGTCAGATGTGCATTTTATATTTTATATTTCTTATCACATTTCATCCTTTTAACAACCCTGTAAGCAGTTTTTATTATGCCAGTTTTAAATCTGAGTCTTCATGAAGGTAGGGGACTTCCCTAAGATTTAAAAACCATTGACCCAACCTCATGAGTCTGGAACTTGAATGTACACTATACAGTTAGGCTTAAAAAGCCCAAGAAGGAAATTTAAATTCCAAATGGAACCTGATCTTCATGCCATAGACAAATGGTAGAAGGTAATACTAATCTTTCCTGGAGGATTGTACTATCACACACAAGCCGTAGAACATTCTTGCAGAGTTGAGCTCACAGTGAAAAATAATAGAATATATACAAAGAAACAAGCCATCATAGATGACAGTCAAAAGAAACAAAAAAAGAGAACAGAAGTAGATCTGAAAGGACTTCAGATTTTGGAAACATGGAATACAGAATATTAAACAGCTACCTACATAATGTGTTTTTAAAACTAAAATGAATTAGGGGAAAAATGGGTGAGGAGCATGAGACTACAAAAATGACCAGGTAGATTTCAAACAATGGAACAATTTTTGATATAAAAAGTATATTATTTGTCATTAAAAGAAAACTCAATGGAAAGATTTGGTAGTAGATAGGCCCCACTAAAGAGAAAATTAACAAACTTTAAGACAAATCAGAAAATGTTGCCTGGAAGCAGCACAGAGGAACAAAGAGATAGAAAATATGAAGGAGAGATAAAAAGACATGGAAGGGAAGTAAGGATACCACGTAGTGGTGAATTTTTATCTCCTTCTTTTGGTAATTAATAGAACAAAAGACAAAAAAAGCATGTAAAAAATATGTAAAACATTGATTGGAGCCTTACATTTAATAACCTTGATCTAATAAAATAGATGAAAATATGTATCTAGCCATTAGAAGATACACATTTTCAAGCATATGTTGAATGTTTACAAAACTGACCATATATGAGGTCATGAAGCAAGTCTTAATAAATTTCAAAGAATTGATATCCTGTAGGTTTTCTGATCATAATGCAATTGTAATAGAAATTCAGAAACAAAACAGCTTAAAAACCATAAATCTTGAATTAGAAATAATAGGACATGACAATAAAATAAGATGCCATTTTATACCTACTCATTTGATAAAATTTTAAATTATCAGCATGAGATGTAAAAATATGGAGCAACAGGAATTCTTACATTGTTGTGGGAACACAAATCAGCACAACCATCTCGGAAACAATTGGGTATTATCTCTGAAATTTGATTGTCTACCATATGACAATGGTGCCTACCCTAGAGAAACTCTTGCAAAAGTGCTTTAGAAGGCATGTACAAGAATGCGTTTAGCAGTCTTGTTTCTAAGAGCAAAAAATGGAAAAGTCCCAAATATCCACTGAAAAAAGAGTGGATGGCTGAACCAAGATGGCGGAGTAGAAGGACGTGCTCTCACTCCCTCTTGTGAGAACACCAGAATCACAACTAGCTGCTGGACAATGATTGACAGGAAGACACTGGAACTCACCAGAAAAGATACCCCACATCCAAAGACAAAGGAGAAGCCACAATGAGAATGTATGAGGGGCGCAATCACAGTAAAATCAAATCCCATAACTGCTGGGTGGGTGACTCAGAGACTGGAGAACACTTATACCACAGAAGTCCACCCACTGGAGTTAAGGTTCTGAGCCCCACGTCAGGCTTCCCAACCTGGGGGTCCAGCAATGAGAGGAGGAATTCCTAGAGAATCAGACTTTGAAGGCTAGTGGGATTTGATTGCAGGACTTCAACAGGACTGGAGGAAACAGAGACTCCACTCTTGAAGGACACACACAAAGTAGTGTGCGCATCAGGACCCAGGGGAAGGAGCAGTGACCCCAGGGGAGACTGAACCAGACCTACCTGCTAGTGTTGGAGGGTCTCCTGCAGAGGCGGGGGGGTGGTGGTGGCTGTGGCTCACCGTGGGGACAAGGACACTGGCAGCAGAAGTTCTGAGAAGTACTCCTTGGCATGAGCCCTCCCAGAGTCTGCCATTAGCCCCACCAAACAGCCCAGGTAGGCTCCAATGTTGGGTTGCCTCAGGCCAAACAACCAAGTGGGAGGGAACCCAGCCCCACCCAGCAGCAGTCAAGCTTATTAAAGTTTTACTGAGCTCTGCCCACCAGAGAAACAGTCAGCTCTACCCACCAGCAGTCCCTCCCATCAGGAAACTTGCACAAGCCTCTTACATAGCCTCATCCACCAGAGGACAGACAGCAGAAGCAAGAAGAACTACAATCCTGCAGCCTGTGAGAAAAAACTACACTCACAGAAAGATAGACAAGACAAAAAGGCAGAGGGCTAGGTACCAGATGAAGGAACAAGATAAAACCCCAGAAAACAAACTAAATGAAGTGGAGATAGGCAACCTTCCAGAAAAATAATTCAGAATAATGATAGTGAAGGTGATCCAGGACCCCGGAAAAAGAATGGAGGCAAAGGTTGAGAAGATGCAAGAAATGTTTAACACAGACCTAGAAGAATTAAAGAACAAACAAACAGAGATGAACAATGCAATAACTGAAATGAAAACTACACTAGAAGGAATCAATAACAGAATAACTGAGGCAGAAGAACGGATAAGTGACCTGGAAGACAGGATGGTGGAATTCACTGCTGCGGAACAGAATAAAGAAAAAAGAATGAAAAGAAATGAAGGCAGCCTAAGAAATCTCTGGAACAACATTAAACGCAACAACATTCGCACTATAGGGGTCCCAGAAGGAGAGGAGAGAGAGAAAGGACCAGAGAAAATATTTGAAGAGATTATAGTCGAAAACTTCCCTAATATGGGAAAGGAAATAGCCACCCAAGGCCAGGAAGCACAGAGTCCCATACAGGATAAACCCAAGGAGAAACATGACGAGACACATAGTAATCAAATTGGCAAAAATTAAAGACAAAAATTATTGAAAGCAGCAAGGGAAAAACAACAAATAACATACAAGGGAACTCCCATAATGTTAACAGCTGATTTCTCAGCAGAAACTCTACAAGCCAGAAGGGAGTGGCATGATATACTTAAAGTGATGAAAGGGAAGAACCTACAATCAAAATTACTCTACCTGGCAAGGATCTCATTCAGATTCAAGGGAGAAATCAAAAGCTTTACAGACAAGCAAAAGCTAAGAGAATTCAGCACCACCAAACCAGCTCTACAACAAATGCTACAGGAACTTCTCTAAGTGGGAAACACAGTCTAAAATAGACTTTAAAATAAAGAATGTTACAAGAGACAAGGAAGGACACTACATAATGATCAAGGGATCAATCCAAGAAGAAGATATAATAATTATAAATATATATGCACCCAACATAGGAGCACCTCAATACATAAGGCAACTGCTAACAGCTATAAAGAGGAAATCGACAGTAACACAATAATAGTGGGGGACTTTAACACCTCACTTACACCAATGGACAGATCATCCAAAATGAAAATAAATAAGGAAACAGAAGCTTTAAATGACACAATAGACCAGATAGGTTTAATTGATATTTATAGGACATTCCATACAAACACAGCAGATTACACTCTTCTCAAGTGTACACGGAACATTCTCCAGGATAGATCACATCTTGGGTCACAAATCAAGCCTCAGTAAATTTAAGAAAATTGAAATCATGTCAACCATCTTTTCTGACCACAATGCTATGAGATTAGAAATCAATTACAGGGAAAAACACGTAAAAAACACAAACACATGGAGGCTAAACAATACATTACTAAATAACCAAGCGATCACTGAAGAAATCAAAGAGGAAATCAAAAAATACCTACAGACAAATGACTGAAAACACGACGATCCAAAACCTATGGGATGCTGCAAAAGCAGTTCTAAGAGGGAAGTTTAGAGCTATACAAGCCTACCTCAAGAAACAAGAAAAATCTCAAATAAACAATCTAACCTTACACCTAAAGGAACTAGAGAAAGAAGAACAAACAAAATCCAAAGTTTGCAGAACGAAAGAAATCATAAAGATCAGAGCAGAAATAAATGAAATAGAAACAAAGAAAACAATAGCAAAGATCAATAAAACTAAAAGCTGGTTCTTTGAGAAGATAAACAAAATTGATAAACCATTAGCCAGACTCATCAAGAAAAAGAGGGAGAGGACCCAAATCAATAAAATTAGAAATGAAAAAGAAGTTACAACAGACACCACAGAAATACAAAGCATCCTGAGAGACTACTACAAGCAACTCTATACCAATAAAATGGACAACCTGGAAGAAATGGACAAATTCTCAGAAAGGTATAACCTTCCAAGACTGAACAAGGAAGAAATAGAAAATATGAACAGACCAATCACAAGTAATGAAATTGAAACTGTGATTAAAAATCTTCCAACAAACAAAAGTCCAGGACCAGATGGCCTCACAGGTGAATTCTGTCAAACATTTAGAGAAGAGCTAACACCCATCCTTCTCAAACTCTTCCAAAAACTTGCGGAGGAAGGAACACTCCCAAACTCATTCTATGAGGCCACCATCACCCTGATACCAAAACCAGACAAAGATACTACAAAAAAAGAAAATTACAGACCAATATCACTGATGAATATAGATGCAAAAATCCTCAACGAAATACTAGCAAACAGAATCCAACAACACATTAAAAGGATCATACACCATGATCAAGTGGGATTTATCCCAGAGATGCAAGGATTCTTCAATATATGCAAATCAATCAATGTGATACACCATATTAGCAAATTGAAGAATAAAAAACATATGATCATCTCAATAGATGCAGAAAAAGCTTTTGACAAAATTCAACACCCATTTCTGATAAAAACTCTCCAGAAAGTGGGCATAGAGGGAACCTACCTTAACATAATAAAGGCCATATACGACAAACCCACAGCAAACATCATTCTCAATGGTGAAAAACTGAAAGCATTTACTCTAAGATCAGGAAGAAGACAAGGATGTCCACTCTCACCACTCTTATTCAACATAGTTTTGGAAGTCCTAGCCACGACAATCAGAGAAGAAAAAGAAATAAAAGGAATACAAATTGGAAAAGAAGTAAAACTGTCACTTTTGCAGATGACATGATACTATACATAGAGAATCGTAAAGATGCCACCAGAAAACTACTAGAGTTAATCAATGAATTTGGTAAAGTTGCAGGATGCAAAATTAATGCACAGAAATCTCTTGCTTCCTATACACTAATGATGAAAAATCTGAAAGAGAAATTAAGGAAACAATCCCATTTACCACTGCAACAAAAAGAATAAAATACCTAGGAATAAACCTACCTAGGGAGACAAAAGACCTGTATGCAGAAGCTAAGACACTGATGAAAGAAATTAAAGATGATACCAACAGATGAAGAGATATACCATGTTCTTGGATTGGAAGAATCAATATTGTGAAAATGACTATACTACCCAAAGCAATCTACAGATTCAATGCAATCCCTATCAAATTACCAATGGCATTTTTTATGGAACTAGAACAAAAAATCTTAAAATTTGTATGGAGACACAAAAGACCCTGAAGAGCCAAAGCAGTCTTGAGGGAAAAAAACAGAGCTGGAGGAATCAGACTCCCTGACTTCAGACTATACTACAAAGCTACAGTAATCAAGACAATATGGTACTGGCACAAAAACAGAAACATAGATCAATGGAACAAGATAGAAAGCCCAGAGATAAACCCACGCACCTACAGTCAACTAATATATGACAAAGGAGGCAAGGATATACAATGGAGAAAAATACAGTCTCTTCAATAAGTGGTGCTGAGAAAACTGGACAGCTACATGTAAAAGAATGGAATTAGAACACTCCCTAACACCATACACAAAAATAAACTCAAAATAGATTAGAGACCTAAATGTAAGACCAGACACTATAAAACTCTTAGAGGAAAACATAGGAAGAACACTCTTTGACATAAATCACAGCAAGATCTTTTTTGATCCACCTCCTAGAGTAATGGAAATAAAAACAAAAGTAAACAAATGGGACCTAAAGGAACTTCAAAGCTTTTGCACAGCAAAGGAAACCACAAACAAGACGAAAATACAACCCTCAGAACGGGAGAAAATATTTGCAAACGAATCAACAGACAAAGGATTAATCTCCAAAATATATAAACAGCTCATGCAGCTCAATATTAAAAAAACAAACAACCCAATCCAAAAAATGGGCAGAAGACCTAAATAGACAACTCTGGAATATCTCAGAGTTGTTTAAGTGACTGAACTTCAGTTACTCTCATCAATCTGGATGATATCTTAAAACTATAATGCTAAGTGAAAACAATAAGTCAAAGAAGGAAATAAACAACATATCTTTTTTTTCAAGTTCAAAAAAAGAAAAATAAGCATAGCAATAAATTAACATTATACAGAAAAGCGAGGGAATAATTTGGGGGGATCGTATTTTCTTTGAAGTATAGTTGACTTACAATATTATCTTAGTTTCAGGTGTAGAACGTAGTGAACATAGTTTTTATAGATTATACCCCATTGAAAGTTATAAAATATTGGCTATGTTCCCTGTGCTGTACAGTGTATCCGTGTAGCTTATTTATGTTATATATAGTAGTTTGTACCTCTTTTCTTTTTTTATTGAGCTAAAGTTGATGTACAATATTATGTCAGTTTCAGGTGTACAAGATAGTAATTCACAATTTTTAAAGGTTACACTCCATGTATAGTTATTATAAAATATTGATGGAATAATTTTTTTTAAATAGAGGTTAATGGCTACCTAGAACCCTAGAAGATGGGATTAGGAAGGAAGACACTTGATGGCATTGGGAGAGCATAGTACCCTTTTAAGAATTCATTTCTGAATCTTTTTAAAAAATAATTAATTAATTAATTAATTTGGTTGCACTGGGTCTTAGTTGTGGCCAGCAGGCTCCTTAGTTGCAACTCTCAGGCTCCTCAGTTGTGGCTCACCAGCTTCTTAGTTGTAGCACGTGTGCTCCTTAGTTGCGGCTTGCTGGCTCCTTAGGTGCAGCACCTGGACTCCTTAGTTGTGGCAGGTGGGCTCCTCAGTTGTGGTTCACCAGGTCCTTAGTTGTGGCATGAGAACTCTTAGTTACGGCATGCATGTGGGATCTAGTTCCCTGACCAGGAATCAAAGCTGGACCCCCTGCATTGGAAGTGTGGAGTCTTAACCACTGTACCACCAGGGAAGTCCCCTGAATCCTTTTAATCTTTTATGTTATATATCTATTATTCATATTTGGGAAAAGTGAAAAAATTTAAAAAGAAAGCAAAAAACAAATGGTAATATGAGGTTTAATTTTGGTGTTCATCGGGTTTAAAAAAAATTATCCTGAGTTATAAATATTTATACCGGGCCCTCACTGTACACTCCTCGTGGGTTAAGGATCCTCGTTCTGTTTACATTTCTGAGATGCTGCATTCTGGGTCAGGTTGGCAGCATGGAAAAGGTGGCAAGAGAGCAAAGGTAGGGTCTTGTAGCTACTACACCCTGTGCAAAGAAATACTATGCGTCATCTCAGGATCAAGAAGCACATGAACAAAGAGGATCAGCGTTAATCCCCACCCCCACCCCGTTTTTCCCTCATTGGACACAAACCTTATGAGTATTTCAAATTGGTTTGGTAACCAGTGCTTTTAGAGCTCACAGTTTGTTAGAATTATGAAAAAAGGAAGGCAAAATATTAATACCATAAAGGTGATATCTCACACTCATCTAACTGGGGAGAGATTATTCATTCAAAAGGTGAACAACTTTCTAAGAGTGATTTGCTCTATATTTGCAGGTCTCAAAACTGAGCTGGATTGAGAAAAAAATGGCTGCTACTCTGTTTGGGAAAATACCATCTGCAACTGTACAAGAAGCTTTGCAAAATTTCCTTAAGGTACATTTTGTCTATCCATTATTTCAGTGTCAAACTGGCTCCTATCTGCACCAGGCTCTCCTACTCTTGCTGTCAAGGAAATCTTTCTCTTCTCCATTTGTTGATTTCTAACTGTAAGCCCAGATTGAGTCCTCATTTTGGCATGTCCAAACTACTTCTTAGATCATAGTTATTCCCTAGGTCCTGGGTGTGGCAGCCCTTACTGCCAAATCCAGTGTAGCTTTCCAGGTCGTGTGAATATGTGCAAAAGCATTCATGCCCTGATTATTAGACTTGGTCCTAAATACTCCTCATTATCCTAATATAGAACCAGTTTCATCTTAAAGAACTAAGAGTTTCCAAGAAGGGGAGTTATTTAAAAAGTCACTCTATGAATCGCAGACAGTTCTATGGAACATTTGTGGGGCATCAGACCAAACCAGTATTTTCATTCCTGTCTTAAAATGTACAATTGCTATGCTGATAAAACTCTAAATAGTAATGTGTGTGTATGCGCACATGAAAATGTGTGATACATCCACCCATTTAACCAACTTCCTGTTGGGCTAATCTCTTCATCTTTCTCTGGAACCAATTATGGAATCTTATAGATACTAAGATTTTTTTTCTTTCACCACCTGCCTACTTCAGGTTTGTAACAATGTAGACAAAACCAGGCTCTGATTTTGGTAACTGTCCAACATATTGTACAGGCTAATATTTTTTGTTATATTTTAGGGATTGATTTTGTAGAACTGAGAGAGAGTTTAGAGATCATATAATCTAAGATGGCAAATATGTTGCATTGCACTTCTCTGAACAGTGAAAAAATAAGTATTCTAAAATCAAGCATGAGCCCAATGGAAAAAAGTATGGGAATACAAGTACAAGGGCTGTAGGTTTCTTATTTTTTATTTAGTGTGATCTTTTTTGTTTTATAACAAAACAAGACCTCAGGAATGTAATTTCTTCCAGTGTCACACAATGGCAGGTCAAAAATAGGAGTGCATTATCATCACTTCACCTTTTTTCTACCATTGAGAATTAGTTCTCCCATGTTAAATTTTACAAGAATAGAGATCATGGTGCATTTAAGATAAATGATTTATAAAAGGTGCTATGTTCATTAGCAAAAAATTTATTTGAATTTGAAACCCATTTTTTCATAGTATCAAAGTTATAACTGGAGGGTCAGGTTTTCAGGACACTGCACGAAAGTTCTTAAAGTGCTTATGCACCTGAAGTATTACACAGATAAAAGTAGTAAGAGGCACAATAATGTAGGGTAAGGATTGCAAACTCTAGAACCAGAGCACCTGGTTAAATCCCAGTTCTACTTCTTACTGGCTGATTAACACTGAGCAAGTACTTAATCTCTCTCTCTCTCAATTTAATCAATAACATGGAGGTTATAGTTGTTGTGAAGTTGTTGTGAACAACCCTTCATAGTGTTGTTGTGAAGATTAAATGAGTTAATACAAGCAAATTGCTTAGAGAATGCCCAGCAACTCGTAAGTGCTCAATAAAAGCTCACAGAGTTTTAACTTCATTAAAATGTAAATACCTTGGCAGACCATCTTTGCGACCTCCCCATTTAGTTATGACTTAGATTGTCTGAAATGCATTCCATGGTGTTTGTCAAGAGGGCAAGAAGGCATCAGGAATGCTTCTCCCCTTATTTACTGCAACACCTGAGGGTATGAGGAGACTAAGGCGTGGAGGAACTAAGAAATCTAGGACGGAGAGGAGTGGAAAAGGAAGCAGCGCATACCTTGGATCCCACACCCCAAGAGAGTCTGCAACCCCCTGGTCCCAATAGGGAGTCACGTCATTGGAACCCAGACTGTAGAACTTCTGCACCCACTCCATGCCTCCAAAGAGGGTTCACAGGAATGAGTCCCCAGAGCCATCCAGTTCAGTCCTGTAGAGATCAAGAGCACTGGCTTTGGAATCAGACAGTTTGAGACCCGAACCTTTTCCTATATGTGTGACATGGGCATGTTTATTTCTCCCAGTCATAAATTTTTCATCTGTAAAGTAGGCATGCATAATAATACCTACTTTATCTGGTTTTTGTGAAAATTACATAAAATAATGCATGTAATTTTCTTGGCCCAGGATCTAGCACATTAAATGCACTAACTGAAAATAAATGTTGTTATTAGTTTGCTCATATAACAGGTGAAATCTGGTCCTCCACAGTCTCAAAGCATCTAGGGAGGTGGTTTTAGACCAGGAGTCATCTGTGAATCCCCTGCTGGAATTTTTTCAAGCTATAGCATGCTTCCCACCTCATCCAAAATTATGGCATGATTCCCTCGGTCAGTGGTTTTTAACCTTGTCTATACCTTAGAATCATCTGGAGAGCTTTAAAAAACGCCAGCCCAGGCCACAACCCAGACTAATTATTTCAGAATCTCTGACTATATTAAGGTATAGTTTATATACAATCAAATTTACCCATTTTCTGTGTAGTTCAGTGAAATTTGACAGATTGATATACTCGCATATCCATCTCCATTTCAAGATATAGAACATTTCCGTCGCCCTCAAGAGCTGTCCTTGCCCCTTTGCTGTCAGTTACCCCTGCCTCGTGCCCCAGGCAACCACTGATCTGTTTTCTGTCACTATAGCTTAGTTTTGCCTATTCGAAAATTTCGTATTAATGGAATCTTCGAGTTTGTACTTTGTGTGTGTCTGGCTTCTTTTGCTCAGCATAATGTTTTGAGCTGCAGTCATTCTATTGAGGGTATCTGTAGTTCTTTTTGTTTGCCTAGTAATGTTCTATCATATGGATATACCACAGTTTGCTCATGCATTTACCTACTGGTGGATGTTTTCATTGTTCCCGGCTTGGGGCTGTTATGAATAAAGCTTCTGTGAACATTCATTTGCAAGCTTTTGTGTAGACATGTTTTAAATCTTCTTGGATAAATACCTAGGAGTGGAATTGTGGGGTCATATGGTAAGGGTTTTTAAAGCTTGATCAGCGTTTTTAAAGTTCTCAAGGTCCTTCATGTGCAGCCCATGGCATGGTTAAGAACCACTGGATCGGTGTGTGTAGTAAATGACAGGTGGGGCAATGTTGGCTACCCTGATGTCACTCACTGTTTGCAGTCACATGATCCCTGAGTCTTCCTTAGTGGTTCCACCAGCTGCAGAGCTGTCTTCTGTGCCTTGATATGACAGAGGGCTGCTGCACGAGGTTATGAGGTGTTTTAAAAACAAAGCTAATTTATTCAGCAATGTTTATTAAGCACATACCTAGTCCAAATGAAGGGAACACAGAAATGACCAACACAGCTCCAGCCTCCAGGGAACTTGGACAACCAACACGAAGTAAACAGGTACAGTATTCTCTGCCAGGTGTTGTGATAGTGTTATAAGAGCATAGCTAGAAACTGCCCCTTAATCAGAACATTCTGTTGAGTAACACTACCTTCCTTGTTACTCAGCTAAGGCCTTTGGCAAAGGTCAGGATCTGCTCCGTTTTAGGACTTAGGTGTTGTTAGTAACCTGCCTATGTTCCTTTGGACTTTTTTTTTTTTAACCATGAGTACAAAAAGAGATGTTCTGATTTATGATCATTCTGGTTAATTTGACATAAGTGTTAAGGTGTATATGCAGAATTAAAACTCCAACATTAAAGAAATAAGAAGCTGCTGTGTGCATATGTTGGGGCAAGTTATCTATATAGGATTTGTTCAGAACTGGGGCAACTACTGGACATAGAAGGTACAATCGAATAAAGTTTCCTCTAGGTCCTTTTTTTTTTCTTCCACTTATACTTAAGTATAATTTGGCATGCAGCACTGTATAAGTTTAAGGTGTACAGCGTAATGATGTGACTTACATACATCACGAAATGATTATCACAGTAAGTTTAGTGAACATCAATCATCTCATGTAGACACAAAATTAAAGAAATAGAAAAAAAAATATTTTCCTTGTGATGAGAACACAAGATTTACTGTCTTAGCTTTCATATAACATAAGCAGTGTTAATTATATTGATCCTGTTGCACATTACATCCCTAGTACTATCTATCTTACAACTGGAAGTTATAACTTTTGGCTGCCTTCATCCAATTCCTCTCCCCTCCCAACACCCTCACCCCCACCTCTGGTAACCACAAATCTGATCTCTTTTTCTATGAGTTTGTTTGTTTGTTTTTGAAGCATAATTGACTTGCTACACTATGTTAGTTCCTGGTGCACAACATAGTGATTCGATATTTCTATACGTTTCAAAATGATCACCACGTTAAGTCTAGTTACCACCTGTCACCATACAAAGATATTATGTAATTATTAACTATATTCCCCACACCATACATTTCATACCTGTGACTTATTTATTTTGTAAATATACAAAAATTGTATTAGTGTGGCTCGAGAAATGCACTTAGTAAACTCAGAGAGTTACAATGGAAATAACCGGACAAGTAGAGAGGAAGTGGGAGGACCAGAACCCATCAGCACCATGGATGGCTCTATAGGACTTTCAAGACTCTGGCCAGGACTGGACTTCCTTCAGTCTGCCCGCAGCCTTGCTGTTTCACTAGCAGGTTCTAGGCCAGATCCACACACTGTTCATCTGCTCGGTCTGAAAGAGGTACACCCAGTCTGGCTTCCCAACCCAAGAGATTTTGTCCTCCTCTTCCTCCCAGGACCCTTCTCTTTGGGGTTCTGTAGAGAGTAAATGGCCTTTACAAGGGATGTGCTCCTGTAAGGTGCTGGAACCCTCCTCAGCACCCTGGGTCTTGCTTTCCCCTCCATTCGTATCCATCCTTAAAATGTACGTATCCTTTGACTCAGCAGCAATTCAACTTCTGGGAATCTCTCCTACACATGTAATCACATGCACACAAGCATATAGGAACAAGTATGTTCGCTGAACATTATTAGTAATAGTGAAAAATAAGTCTAAACGTCTAAGGGAGAACGCTTAATTTAATTATGGTATATGTGTAGTATGAAATGCAGCTCTTAGAAACAATGAGGGAGATCTTGTATGTGAACACAAAAATGTATCTGTGGTATGTTGTGGGGAAAAAGTTTTGGACCAATATGTAGGAAATGGTCCCATTAAAAAGTTTTTTTTCAAAAATCAGTTCCCTTTGGAGGGGGTGGGTTACTCTGCTTGGTAAAATGTCTGTAGGATGCATTTCTCAAACTGTTGGTAGTGGTTACCCCTGGGGGCTGAGATCGTAATTGAGAATAAGATTCTAACCGAGAAACTTTCACTTTTTAATTTTGGAAATGTCTGGATTGTTAGTGTGTTGTAAAACAAACATATTTTTATAAATTTTTTAAAGTATCCTTCTTTTGGGTTCTGTGTCCCTCTGTGTTGGGGGCCGGGTTGGGTTGGGAGCTTCCTTGCATAGACCTTTACAACAGCAAAACCTGGCTCCGATGCAAAGATTGACTTAGGTTCTAAGAAGAGCTCTCTAGTAGCAACACCATATACCTGGCGGAATTCTTATTTACGAGAGATAGAGAAAAGGAGCTGGTACGTAAGACATTAGTAGATGAGGAGTAAAGTACCTTTATAATACCCACTTATTAAAATCTGCAAGGAGGTCTGCTACTTGGACTAGTTATTTTAAGCATCTGCATTTTCTTTGAAAGAACTTGATGTGATGGACCTCAGTTATTATTCAGCTCATATGGAGTGTGTTGAGATCATAAGAAATCAAATATTAATGTAGTGGAAGATGCTTGCCATGTGATGTCAGTCACGTTCTACTCGTGCTTCCCAAAGAGATTGTAGGGACTTGTCCTGGGGAGAGTGTATCACCAGTTGTTTTGTCCCTGAAAGAAAAAAACACAAAAGATAGAGAAGGGGAAGTGAGGAAGATGGTTATACAAAGGATGGTTATACCTTTGTTTTGTATAACAAAGGTTATACAAAATCTTAAAGTATCTCATTGCTTTGTAAACTTTATGACCACAATAATAATTCTATTTTAATGGATAAGCTCAAAAGCTATATTTCTACCCAAAGGATACTTGAGCTAATAAAATGATTCACATGTGACACAACCACCCTAAATTCTTAGGGCAATTTGGTTAATGTCTGATTTATTGAAATATATCTACTTTACTTATTGTTTTAGTATTTCCCTGTTATTCTCTTTTCTGTTTTCTCTGAAAATCAGGTCGAAGAACTACACCCTGGGTTTTCTAAGTCCAATTACATGTTCTTGGCCAAGGTAACGAAGACCACAATTTTATGATCACTTTGACTTCATTACACAAAAATGTGATTAAGCTTCATATTGATTATTTTTTCATTTCTAGTGTTATATTGATCTTGAACAAACAGATACTGCTGTGAAGTTCTGTAATATGGCAGTGTTGCTTCCTTGTGTTACCAAAGAGGTAAGTCCATACGGTGACAAGGAGCACTGTTATTTTATTAGTATGATTCCAGCCTCAAATATGAACAACCGGCTTAGATACATCTGGAAGTTTTTGCTATCCTAAAACATAATGACTTGGATTTAACATGTACTATGACGTTTTAAAAATTGCTATAGGGGGCTTCCCTGGTGGCGCAGTGGTTGAGAGTCCACCTGCCGATGCAGGGGACGCAGGTTCGTGCCCTGGTCCGGGAAGATCCCACATGCCGCGGAGCGGCTGGGCCCGTGAGCCATGGCCGCTGAGCCTGTGCGTCCGGAGCCTGTGCTCCGCAACGGGAGAGGCCACAACAGTGAGGGGCCTGCGTACTGCAACAAACAAACAAACAAACAAACAAACAAATTGATATAGGTAACCCTTCCCCAGGAGACCCCTTGTATCTTTAAGGAGCACACAAATCGTGGGCTAGCAGGTAAAACATTGTGATGCATGTTAGGTGTTACACAGCAGGGAGTGGGAAGGGCCCCACGAGGAAGGATGGAGGACAGCATGATTCTGGGGAGCTGGTGATTAAACTGGGGTAGGCAGCAAACAAACTAGACAGGCTGCCGCCTTACAGCAGGAGGAGGCTGTGTGCAGTTGCCACTGTCAGTCCCCAGCGCACAGCACGTGGTGGCTGTCGAAGGCCGTGAAGAGGACTAAAAATATGCACTAACATTTTCTTGGTCTTTGAACACCATTAATGTAAAAGAAGGTGTCGCATTGCTTCTTGCCTTTTTCCCACTAATTCAGAATTCTGGACGTGCTGTAAGTTTTAGGAGTTTCACAGCATTAACAATTCAGTCTGTGTTCCTGTGTACTGGAATTGCGGGAACAAAAGGAAATGAATAAATGTTTTCCTGCTCCCTTCTCATAGCACATAAACATTATCAACCTGTGAATCGCAACTGAATAGAAATACCTCAGAAATAAGTACTCCTCCTCTGCTGTTGGAGCAATACAGGCTTCAGCGTTTGTTGTGATCTGGAACATAAACACGTAAGACATGCCCACTGCCCTCTAGGAGCCTGTAGCCTAGAAGGGAACATAAGGTATATATCCAAATAAAGGGAGCTCAGGGTAGAAAGCATGAAGTGCTCAGAGAGGTACAAATCATTGGTTATGGACATATTGAAAAGGGGGAAATTATTTTCACCTGGAAGAGATCAGCTAGCATCAGAGGTGGACCTGGAAAGACCTATATAACGTGGAGGTGTGGGCGAAGCACGTCACAGGCGGTGAACAGAAACACAGAGGTGGAGAAGCAAAGGTTTGTTTGCCTGGAGTGGAAGGACTATTCAGGGCAGTCATGGGAAATAAGTCTGGAAAGGGGAAGTGAAACAAGACCTGCGCAGGACCTTCCAGGTTCAGGGATGCCTGTGTCTGTATACAGGGCTCAGCAGCAGCCACCTGCGCAAGGGCTTGGCCTGCTTCTGTGTTTGGGATTTCCTACGGGGTTCATTGTCCTTCTAACTCTAATCCCTGGTTGGCTCCATTGGTGAATAGGAAATACAAAACAGCACTCTTTATCTAAAAGACAGTTTGTGTAACTTTTTCAGCAGGAAACAGATTTTGTCCCTCGCGTTGCTTGCTCCGTGTTAGTGGTTGGGACCCTACTGTCTTTTACATCTCTCCTGAACGATGCCAGTTTGGGTTACATGCAGTCCTTTTAAACTGAGTGTCTATGCATTCTTACTAGAATAGGAGATTAAAATACAATATGATAGTGAGGTACCTGGTTTGATATGCAGATGTTTATGCATGACATTCAGCGCTCTCACAGGCGGTCTAATATTGACCAGCTTCAGGGTTTGATCCTTGGTCCCTAAGTCTTCTCTCCCCTTTCCTTCTCCCTACCTGCCAAACCTATCCTCCATGGCTTCAAATACTACGTACCTGCCAGGGGTCCTCAAATTTGCGTCTCTAGACCTCTCCTCTGAGTCTGGACCTGATTATCCAACAGCCTGCTTGACATCTCTGCTTGGATGACTCATAGACATCTCACACTCAACTAGTCATCAGGCCTTTGCATCTGCTCTTCCTTCATCTGCCCCTCTTAGTAAATAGCACCTCCACCCACCCAATTAGAAAAGCTGGGAATGATCCTTGACACATCCTTATCCCTCAGCCCCCAAACCCAGATGTCTACCCAGACACCAAGTTCTCGTAGTTCTTCTTTTTTTTTTTTTTTTTTAAATTTATTCATTTAAATTTAGTTATTTTTGGCTGTGTTGGGTCTTCGTTGCTGCGTGCGGGTTTTGTCTAGTTGCAGCGAGCGGGGGGCTACTCTTCGTTGTGGTGCATGGGCTTCTCATCGCAGTGGCTTCTCTTTTTGCGGAGCACCGGCTCTAGGCGTGCAGGCTTCAGTAGTTGCAGCATGCGGGCTCAGTAATTGTGGCTCAGGGGCTCTAGAGCACAGGCTCAGTAGTTGTGGCGCACGGGCTTAGTTGCTCCGTGGCATGAGGGATCTTCGCAGACCAGGGCTCGAACCTGTGTCCCCTACATTGGCAGGAAGATTCTTAACCACTGCACCACTAGGGAAGCTCTCTCGTAGTTCTTCTAATACATGCCTTGAGACATCCAACTGTTCTCTCTCTCTCTCTCTCTGTCTCTCTCTCTCCACCCACCACTCCAAGCAGGGCACCACCCTCTTTCACCTGAGCTACGATCATAAGAGCCTCCCAACTGGTCTCACAGCTCCTTGCCCCCTGCCCAGTCATTCTTGGCTCCCAATATTAGCCAAAGCCACAGATTAAACATAACCTTCGCATGTCGCTTCCCTGCTTGAAAACCTTTTGCTTTTAGGATGAAGTTCAAAATTTTTAGCATGCCCGTCAGGGCTCTGATCTAGCTCCTCCCAATCTCTTAAGCTTCATATGTTCCCCTCTCTCCCCTCCTCTACACTGTGTTCTTTCCCGCCTTGCGCCCTTGGGGCACAGTGTTCCCCCTTTTGGAAACATTCCCCTACAAACCCTCCATTCCCTTCACCAGCTTTATTCCTACTCATCCTTCAAGCCTCACCATCAATGTCATTTCTTCAGGAAAGATTTCCTTGACACTCCCAGGCAAGAAAGTACCTCATACTTTTCCTTCATGCCATTTAGCACAGTTGTGATTATATAGTTATTTGTGTGGTTGGTTCATGAAAGTAGCAACCAGGTGTGTTTCATTCATCACTCTCTTCCTAGTGCCAAATGTACTGCCTGGCGTATAACAAGGACTCAGTAAGTACTGGTAGGAAGACTCAATAAAAGTGCTAATAGTAATAATAAATAGAACCGGTAATAAATGTAACTAAGAAAGCTGAGCAGTGTGGAACTATTTATGTAATAAGCACAACAGCCTTAGCAAATATTTCCCGCATTACTTATTTTTTCCAGTGATTTGTATTCCTAGCAGTTTTTTTTCAAGTGGTTAATGTACCGTCAGGAATATCTCAATTTCTTTTTCAGTTAGAAAATCGAATGAGGCAAGTTATCTATAGTACCCACTCTGTCTGTAAAGGTTTTCCAGGTTGAAGTATATCCCATTAGTGATTTTGCTGACCCACTTGTTTATTTCCAAAATATCTAGCATTGGCACTCATTACAGCGAAGGCAGCCCAGCCATCGCTTTTCTCTCCCTCCTGTGAACTTGCATAACATTTGTGCTTCTTTCTGTGGCACTCGTACCCTCTTCCTGGCATCGCAGTCATTTGTGAACGTGACTTCTGTCCTTATCAAGGAGCTTGGAGCTCATCATACTGCACTTAATATCGGGAATGTCAGCCCTTGGGCCTCTAGAGCCCAGATTCATGCACATAAGCCATTTTACAGTTTCAGAATCTGAAATTACAGTATTTTATTATTCATGTGGACTTTTCTTGACCCTAGATAGGTAATGTCAGCTCCTGAGAAACATTTCTTCTTTTAAAATTAAAGGGAGTCCTGTGTCTAAGGCAGTGTGAGAATGATCACTGAGTGAAATAACAACAATGCTGGCAGCCTGAAAATTGTTTGCCTGGAGGAAGAGTCCAAGTTATTGACTCAGAGCACACTGAGAAAGCACAAATATAAAAAGCATTGTGTGATATGTTGTGCTACAATGAGGGATATGCTAATCCGGTAAAGAAAAATACTTTTAAAATTGTTATAATATTTTGAAGTGATATTAATCACTCTTCTAAGGCAAACAGACTCTTATTGGACAGTAAATACAATGTATCAGAAACAACCACAGGGAGAAGATGCCTCTGGGAGGGCAGAAAGTAAAGAACTTCTTTATATTTAGCAAGTGGTGTAGTTGTCTTTGAAATTACCTGTAGTTTAAGTCCTGGGCTGCATTTCCAACCTGTTCTATAGATTGAAAATCATCACTCTCCTTAGTAACCACTCTTAATAATAAAATCCTAATTTTTTTTTTTTTTTTTGGCTGCACCACACAGCTTGTGGGTTCTTAGTTCCCCAACCAGGGATCGAACCCAGGGCCCTGGCAGTGAGAATGCCAAGTCCTGACCACTAGACCACCAAGGAATTTCCTAAAATCCTAATTCTACTTTAAATGTTCTATCTTAATTAAGACCTCATATTTGATTACCTTAATTAAGACATCGTGTTTTCAGGTAAGTTTAGAAAGTATAGTTAGTCCACAACTCTTCACCTGTCTTCCTGTTCTAGGGATGCTACAACTCAGAGGGGTGGCTGGATCACTTACCAAAATCCAGCAGTGTTGTCCAGGGTCTCATTTGTTAGAAATTCATATTTGCCTATTTCTTTCTGGTTTAAATGTATATCTTATGCATTAACTCATCTGTGTTCTCCATGCCTGGAGAATTAATTCTTCCTATACATTAAAAAACAATCAATAAAGCCATTTCAGAGTGGACAGAGTGGACTTTCCCACTGTCTGAACAGACATTTCGTGAATTATAGGCAGGCAATGTTATTCTGTTTACACCCTCCTGTTTCTACTCTTTTGTCTCCTACCTTCTATTCATCTGCATT